TTAGACTTGGTTTATGTGTTGATGGGTTCACACCATACAGTCACACCACAACACCATATTCATATTAGCCAATGCTAATTACGCCAAATAATTTGTGCCCTCATATGTGCATGATTGAGTCGTTCTTATTTCTAATGTTAATCATGTCGAGTCCACATCCCAAAAGAAAAAAAATACATCTACTTACAGCCTCTGATTGAATAACTTCATACAGTGTGGAAAACGGGTGTGCTGACTTATGATATCACTTTGAAATAGAACTTTCAGTTGAAAGATGCTCTTACATAGACAATTAGTGATTTCCCCACTTATTGGATGTTATTTGGTCGGAACACAACTGAGAAATTGGTTTGTCCTTAGTGCATGGATATATCCAAAGCATTCACTTTAAAACATGGAAGAAAAAATTCATGGTTTGATTATCATTGAAGGTTTACATTCAGAAGAAATAAAGATGCATTTTTCAAAAAATAGAGCTGAAAAATCGAATTCACCCCCGAGGATTACTAGGACTGATTTATGGTTATTGATCAGTGAAGTACCAAAGATCACTAAGAGAAAAGAACTAGCTTCGATCATTTTCCTAATTTGGGTGTTACACATAGATGGAAGAAGCAGTGTATTTTCTGGCATTATTATATGCTGGAGGATTAATTTGATTAAACATAGTCTCGAAATTCTGCATACCGAAAAAATTTTGTTTGATAATATCTTCAATAATGTAATGGATATTAAGCTTAAAACAAAAGAAAACATCAAAAAAAAAAATCTATAACATATTTATTATTGTGATGGATACTCATGTTAAAAATGACAATTAATCCTTGCTTTTAGTTATGTGGGAGCAATACGAGCAGCTCCAGAAGAGGCATAGGGAGTTGGAGAGCCAAACTCTGAGATTCGTCAGTAATAGTGGTAGCCAGTCTACTATTGTGTGGCCTGATTTTGAGCTATAGCTGCAGGCCGTGGTAAAGAATAAACGGAGGGTCTACCGCTTGAGCTCGAAGGGGATAACATTCGAGGATGAGCTTTCCCGTGCTCCTATGGGTGACTCAAGCTTGTTGTTGGCGAAACATAAAGAGCTTGTCAGGCAGGGTAGTGCTATAAAAGAAGAGCTTCGTATGATGCATAATCAGATATGTGGCTTGATCAATATTAAAAAATTATTGTTAATATAATATAATTAATGGAGAAATTATATGAGAAAATAATTTGAGGATTTTTTTGAGAAAATATTTATTATGTTCTAGTACTACAAATAATAAATAAATTAGA